GTCAACTGAAGTCTTTGCGGTGTGTTCGTAGACGGGCGGCGTAGACGGGCGGCGTAGACGGGCGGCGTAGACGGGCGTAGACGGACGGCGTAGACGGACGGCGTAGACGGACGGCGTAGCCGACGCAGGCGACGTAGCGGACGTAAAAGTCGGTACGCCTTCGGTACGCGTTCTTTGGTCTCAGGTTGGTGTGTAGCGGCCTTTAAGTGTGTTACACCTCTCCAAAAGGCAAAGTCTTACAAATACTGTAGTGTGTGTGTGTGTGTGTGTGTGTGTGTGTGTGTGTGTGTGTGTGTGTGTGTGTGTGTGTGTGTGTGTGTGTGTGTGTGTGTGTGTGTGTGTGTGTGTGTGTGTGTGTGTGTGTGTGTAAAGTATTAAAAATGGATGGTTGAGAATAAATGATTCCAAACTTGGCGCTTTGAGTCTATCTCTATTGATTGTTATGAATAGTTTGGAGTACTATCATATGAGCTCATAATCGATTATGTTCAGGCTTTAAGAAATGTAACTTGTTGATTCGGACCATTGCTTTCACAGATATCACTGCTGGCATCACTGGAAAATATTTAAAACGGTAGTAGTGATGCATGATTGAGCTGATCATTCAAAACGTTTTTTTTTTTTAAATGTTTTGACTTCTGAATATAAACATATCCACTTTATATCCTAAAAAAAAGGGAGTTAGATCTCTCTAATGTTAAGTGTTTGCACAAAACCAGTTTAAGCAAGTACTTAAAGGTCACCTATCATGCTATTTTCAGGCAATAGCATAGGTCTCAGATATATACAGATATATAAAAAACATGTCTATGAAGTGTTTTGCTCAAAATACCAAACAGATCATTCTAGCCATGCCTCATATCCCTCTATTTCACTTCCTGTTTCTAAAGTGCTGATTTGGGGTATAAAGCTTTAAAAAAAATTGATAAAAAAAGAAGGAGGAGTCTGAGCTCATGCGGGACCCGGCAGCTACCGTCTAAACTAAATGCTGCCGTGATGAAACGCCATATCATGGATTATCAAGGATTCTCTCTGAAACAGTATGGAGCTCAAAGGCTTTCTCTCTTGCCGGTTATACCACAAGGTGAGTTCCTTTTTATTTCCTGCTTCTTCACACACATGCTCTCCAGTACAGGTTAGCTCTGAGTGTTAGCGATGCTAATGTAAACACCGACCATATTACATCCAAAACAGTCGGGCATTGTTTCTGATAGCAACGTTTCTGATAGGCCCGTGGGTCCACATTTCAGATATTACGTCATATCGGACGCTAATCTGGATCAGCTCCGTTGTTCCCCCGTTTTTAGAGATTTGGGTACGGAGGAAAAGAGAGAGGGTTTCATTTTCTGACGCTGCGTGAGTTCCCTGACACACCGGGGACACATGTTTATATATACAAGACATCAAAAAGTGCATTTTGCATGATAGGTCCCCTTTAATAAACTTATATCATAGGCAACATTAAGCTTGCAAATTGGAGACATTATGCTTACATTGGAAAGGTTTTATCGCAGCATAATTATCACAGTAATGCTCTTTAAAATGTAAGCCCTGTTGGAACATATTCTACATCCTTTAAATGTTTATTCAGTGCTTAAAAGTCACACTATAATCTCCCTCTGGAGGGAACACAGGGATGTAAGCCTTTGCAGACCATTTACATGCACTAAAACCTATATAACACACTACATGAAAGGGAAACCCCCAACAAATCATAAATGGGACTCTTTAATGAACATACGATAAGCCTATCTGATGACTTTGTAGTGCATCATGTATGAATATATGGTGCACGACTACATGATGCACTACAAAGTCCTCAAATCTTATGTTGGACTAACTGTCCATTGATATGGCACTCAAGGTTGCTTATACTTTTACTATGTGCTGAGGTTTATTCCCAAGTCTTTTTAGACATACAGGTTATCCTGGGCAAAGAAAAACTTATGTGAGCTGTAAAAAGAGTAACTAATTGGACCTTGCAAATACACTTTATATGACCTATAAGCAGTATCCATAAACATTTGCAAGGCCTTTTAACATATTTCAAGTTTGATAGTCAATGCAGAGAGTGCTTTGGGAGGAGAAGAAGTAACGGGCCAATAACACGGGTGATGGTGTAGCAGCCAGTGCAGTTTCAGTGTTGAGCCAAGACGGATGGTTTAACTGCAGATATTATTACAGCTAATGATTCACCTCAAGGGGCCATTACTCGGCTGCGATCTGTCTGCTTCACTTTTTTTCACAAGAGTTGGGGGAGCTGAAAAGTGAAGTGAAGTGAGACATGGGGAAAGTGTGTGTGTGAGAGAATGTGTGATGGTATCTACAGTAATGTACAGTATATACATGAGAAAGCGTAAGTGAGAACGTGAAAAGTTTCCATTCATCAATTGCCACTATCTATCTATCCTGTCAGTGAAATATAAAACATGTCTAAGTCCTCTGGTTTGGGCATTAATGTCAGAGTGAGTGTTGCTGCAGTGTTTAAACCGAAGGTTGA